ATCAGCTTTAGTGGGCCGTATGCTAATTGAAGTGTCGATTGGATAATTGTTTCTTTCCAGTGCAAAGCATTTAACAGATTTGCAGCTTATGGAGGTCAATGTGTCGCATCTGCGATTTTGGCATACTATTTAGCGCATTGCTCAATTTGATGGGTCTGTGCAAATTGCGGGACCTCGATAAAAACAGACATTTCGAACATCGCTCACATGTGCCACAAAACGTCTCAAATTGAGCTCATTGACGTCTGGTTGAAATGATTGTCGTTTTTAATTGATTTGCAGTGGAGCAATTGAAACATGCCCAATGATTGGCTTTGATTTCTCTAAGACGATAAATGGATATGTTTTCCACAGTTTTTAACTTTGTAAAAGTTTTAAATGGATCTACACAGTAGAGCTGTAAGACTAAAGCGAAGAATGCTGGCAAGAGATCGAGTCATTGACAAAACTCACTTTCGGAGCTTCTAGTTTGAATCCCACATTTCCATGGCTTTTTTTCCAGATTTGTTATTGAATGTGTTGGTAGATTGCGAAGCTATTTAAAGCAGAAACATATGCCAAAAAAAAAAACAAACTTAAACCTGAACAGAATCATTTTTATACCTATTGAAAGTGGGTAGAGTCGAGTCAATTAAAAGAATGAGTATATTATTATTGTTTCGATATCTACACCATTTCCAAAATATTGATATATATCGATTTTAAAACAAGTTTTTTAAGCATAATTCGGAGATTTTAAGTTTTACAGAATGTTTTTTGTATATAGACACAGAATATCTCCTAGTCTGGCACTTCCGACTAATTTTGACCTCAAAGCTGTTATTATCTTATCTGAAAGGCCACAATAATAAGAATTTGCTTGAAGATAGGCTAATTTTGAAACGAAAATAAGCAACAGAAAATTGTATTTTGTTATCAATTAAAAATTGAATTGAAATTTGAAAAGAATGCGATGAAACAAGATTGAGACTTGGGCTTATAAATAGTCTTCTGCAATATATGAATTTATAAAAGAAAATAAATTATTTATTAATATTATTAATATGTTTTATTATTCTTCCAGTCAAGCATTCTACTGTACAATCGTTTTTATTCATGTTATAGAAATAATTCCCTCCTCTGTTCAGCTCTAATATTACTGCATAATCTCGGCACATTCTGAACCTTTGATAATTCTTGATGATTCATTTTAATGTACACTCATTCTATGCATTATTCACTCACTAATGCTCGCAATTATCCAAACACAGCAAGCGGCATTTCTATTTGTAACATAATTTCATATTGCGCTCCAATTTTCTTAATTCCAACCACATGGGAATCAACATGTATAGCCACATGTATGTTTGTTCAAATTGGAAAAGAATACATAAAGTGGCTGCAGATCCTGAGCAGACGAATATATAATTTATGTTGGCTTCTCTCAGATCTGTGCCCAGTCCAAGCGGCCTTTTGCCTGGTAAAAATGTTGAAAAGAATTCGCTTTGGAGGCGTGTTAAGTGTTTAACTGAAGAGGCAACACAACTTGCAACTAAGTAGGTTACAGACAAAGCAATCATGCAACAGCAACAGCTGCAGCAGCAGCGGCAGCAGCAACAACAAAATGTCTGTTTTGCCGCCAACGCCCACATTTTCGAGGCGCTAAGCCCGGGGCGGCACTTGTCGTCGTTTTGTTGCCTGTCAGCCAGTGTGTACAATGTGCTTTTGGAATGAGGTTAGAATCGATTTTTAGTTGAGTCAATTTCAGTGCATGATAGTGCAGCTTTTATTTACCACTTCGCATTTAACTGGGTTACAGTCAATTGTGCAAAAGCCCGGCTTGGAGGTACGAATACCAGAAGGCTTAAAAATAGACAGAAAAGGCTTAAGGCTAGTAAGCCAACTGATATGATAAAAAAATATAGCTGAAGCTCTTGTAAAAGGATGGCTATTCTCTACCTTTCTGTTATTTTTTAGTCATATTTATATATGCAAATTAGTTTTATTGGTTTTTGCTAAAGTTGATTGTATTTCTTTTCAATATCTTGAAAATTTCCCTAAACCTTTTTTTTGCAATAAAAAATGTATATATTCCGAATTTGTTTATGCAATTCTTGTCAATTTTCAACGAATTTCCGCCATGTAGTAAAATTAAATTGCATTTATTCAGAAACTTATGAGGAGCCGCATTATAAATTGAATTTTTCCTCAACTGCCTGCAATTACCCTTCGAATTTCCTCATGAATTTCCCTCTTACCAATACATTATGCAATCTATAAAAAATCTTTATGTTGATTTTAGTTGAGCAACTTTTGTCGCATAAACTTAAATAAATAATAAATCTTAAAATAAGCTTTACTAAGATGAATATAGTTATTTCGTATACGCATAGCAAAATTCTGTTCTACTTCTACCACTGAACTTTGCAATCTAGCTTTCGGGCTTTATATGACATTCAAGCGCACATCAATGTTTCAATAGTGTCAAGCGAGGCGACAGCTTCACAAATTGAATTCCATTAAAAATTACTAAACCCTGAGAAACTGCTAAAAATAAACCCAACAGCCAGCACGTGCCTTCAGTTGAGACAGCTGGGATTGAATGATGGAGCAGCTAGCAAAAATAAAGAGGGCTGCAGGAGAGTAGTTTATGGAGCGAGAGGTGGAATTAGAGCTTACACAGCGCGTAATCCTATATCAATAAATAACCAAATGACACGTATGCTATAAATTGTCAAAATACGCTTTGGTATTATCTTAAATCTCCTGTGTACAGTGTACTTGTCGTCTGTACAATCGGTGCTAAAAGCTAACTGTGAGCTGTTAGTTTGGAATCGGATTGAAAATTAATAGTTTGAAATTATATTAGAAAAATGGTTTGATTAGCATTATACAATTTTAAGCCAAAATCGATAAATATCGATGGAACAAAGGCAAAAAAGTTAGCTTTATAAACTTGCTAGCCAAAATAGATAAAAATCGATCGATATTTTACACAGGATTGAATAAATTAAGCTTTATACATATTGTTAAATGTGAACGTTTACTTATTCAAAAGGCTTAGCAATAAATTTGTAACATTTGCGATATTCATGTACATTAACTAATCCGATATATATCAATGTTTGATTTTGGACTCTTGATTTTTCGATAGATAAATTTTCACTTAACTGACCTACGAAAGCTGACAGGCACTTGATATCAGTTAGTGCACCGATATTATCTAAATATTTTTATCTGTTTAGTAAACAACAGCAAATGCTTATATACATACTATGTTTAAAATATTTATAAGAGCCTTATCTAAGCCCCAAAAATTGAATACATCATAAATTACAAATTGCCACCGTTTTTTTCGACCTCTTTATTTTCACTTTTTGTCTTTTGTGCCTGGGCCATAACAAATTTACGACAATTTTGCATTCTTGTTGTCTCTCATGGCGTTTACACACGATATCAAATGATTAGTCATATTTACTGTTGGTTGGGTTACATTATGGGCCTAACTCTTAAAACACACCCTACTTAAGGCCCCCCGTCAGTCTATACTCGTATAATTGTTATGCAATCGCTATCGAAAATCAACCATATATGGACAGTCCGTATAGCTGACTGTGCTGGCTGAGTGACTGAGTGACTGAATGACTGAGTGACTGAGTGGCTGAGTGACTGTCAGTAAGCGCATGTGCTCTAGCTGAATTGTGGGCTCAGCTATAATATTGAGTTCTATATTTAGTGCTGCCAAGCAATTTACTGGGCCCATCAAGTACGTGACTTTTTACTGTGTATGGCATACAGAATGAGTCCAATCGATCGATACGCATTATAAGGGTAAACATAACGGTTGATGTTCAAATAATGCCCGCATATTAAATACTGGTGGCACGGAAAAAACCAAAGTATTTCTTTAGCAGCAAATGCGTTTATTTATTTATAACAAATAGAAAGCAAATTGTAAATAATCTATTTAGTGAAAAATATTACAAATAAATTACCGCCGGCATTTAAAATCTTGTCGTTACACAACACTACACTACTACACTACACGCAGCCTTGTATATTATTGGCTATGCGCATTTTCTATAATTTCTTTTATTTTTTTTTTTTTTGTTACAATACTTTATATCTGTATACTCTTTATATACTATATACTCTTATTTTTCCATCTACATTTTTTGTATGTTTATTTTTTTCTGGTTAGCAATATTATATAATATAATAAGAAAAATATTGTGTTTATGACAAAAGTAGTTTGAATAGTATTCAAATAACTTACTTTCGAAAAGTATTAAATACTGAGACTCCAATATCATTATAAACTAGATTGAGATTCCAAAAAAGGCTGATAAAAAGCTTTTGCCTACAATTTAGATTGAAAATCTAAATCCTGTTAGATTTGTATCAGAGTAAAACTAACTGAATAATTTGATTGATATTGTAGGTTATATTTTATTTTATTTAAATTATTTATTAAATAGTTAAGTGCTAGACTGGCCCTTGAGTATCCCTTCAAATAATTAATAATAAACATAGATATACATATTTATATAATACAGACTGACAACGCGGCGTATGCGCAATGCGTGAAACTTGATTGATTTGCTGAGCGATTTAATTACCAATTAAGTGAAACACGAAACTAAAATAAAAGCAAGCTGAAGATATAGATATCTATATAGCTATTAACTCAAGTACAGTAGTCGCTCGAAAAGAGAACGTTGCCATTTCGTTGAATAAAATTTAAATTTCTAAAAGTTTTAGTTTTGTATTAAAAACAATTAATTAATCGTTGTAGTACGCAATGTTAGAAACATTTTATTTGTGAATTTCATAGTTTCTGAAAACTGTATTAAATATATAAAATGAAAAACAATTAAAAGAGCTAAATTTCTCAAAATAAGTTAATTTAAAATGAAACTTCTAACTTCTTGGAAGGATAAAATGCCCAAATGCTCACATATATTATGCCAAGGCTAGATAGATTTCAAACAATTTTTTTTTGTTTTGTTAATTGTACTCACCCCAACTGGAACCGGTGCGTCCGAGGCATTGGCTAGTTTCACTGTTCCATAGGAATTTTCTGAAACCCTCCCATTTGCCCATCTTTGGCGGAGGCGAATAGTATTCACCAATCTTCTTGTCGGCCATTGTTTTTGTTTTTTTTCCTTTTCCTTGTTAGTTGACTTTAAGTACGATTAGGATTCGTTTGCACCAGGTCTAAGGAGGGTGTCTGTCTGTTTTTATTAGGCTAGTTTTAAACTATATGTTTACTTTTGTTTTTTTTTGTGTCTTATTGTTTTAGGTTTTTAAACGCTTATCGATATAAATATTTATATACGATTTATCATTTAAATATTTATTAGTTATGTTAATTTTTGTTTTTGGTGTGTTTTTCTTAATCAACTGCGTTGGTACAACATTTTTAAATGGGGTTTTTTTCTGAATGTTCGTAGCAGTATTGTGTTAAGATTTGCGCTAAATTGATTTGGTTACTGAAATTAGAAATTGGTTTATGAGTAAAATGTGATAAAATTCGGCTAATTTACCACCTGTTGGGTGGGGGAAGAGGTAAAATTAGCAAAAGGGAGCTGGACAATTTTTCCTTTAATAAAAACTATATTTTATTTATTTCATTTTAAATATCAAAGCAGTTTCTATTGAAATTTCTGAAAATTCTTTTATGTATCCTATCATCAATTAGGAACTGTCTATTAAAATTAGTTTAATTAAATTGTGTATATGTAATAAGCTCAGTTTTGGTTTTCGGAACAATCAATTAATGTATTAACTACTCCTTTAAGTGCTAAGCGGTATTTTCGAGTATGAACTATGACATTGTGGGCCCTAATCAACTTTACTGCTTATATAAACATTACAAATTCATTTGGCTTTTGCCAAACTGAACTGAAAACTCTTTGGCAGCTGCTGTTGCGTGTTTTTTTCTTTCCGACAAGGACACACTTGGAAAAATGGCCTAAAGTACACTTTCTAGTTGACTTGTGCAGCTGGTAAACGGGTTTTCGCACTCGCTGTTAATTCTTGTGAATTTTTCATGAATTTTGGTTAATTAATTATTGCTAATTCGATCAACTTTTTGCCATTTACGTGAAAACAAATTGCAGTCGCCTGCCGATTTTAGCCACACACTCTGCCAACTGTTATGTAATCTCGAGCGAGGAGCATTGGAAAAAGGCATCCAATGCTGCCCAAGCCAATCGGCGTATGCGCACAGAGCGAGTGGGAGACAGAAAGAGCGAAAGAGAGTGCGCACATGCACACACACACGCACGCACACAGGGAGTGCAAGCAAGTATGAACATCAAATAAAGAGAGCGAGCCTGGAATTTGCGTTGGAAGTTTTTTTTTTTCTTTTTCTGGTGCAGAACGGTAAAACAGATTTTGGCCGTGCCATGAAAAACTGCCAGCTGGGCGCCAGCCTAATGACAGCGAGCACAGCTTGTGGGAATGCTCGAGCAGCTCGTTACGGTTGTGCGGGAATTGCCAGTCCGACGAGCTTATAGTTATGCTATGCGGCTTAGCTGGTGCAGCTTTAAGGACACTTTGCAACACTGGCCACACAAGCTGTAATTTTTATGTTAATTTTTCGTTGTGATATGCGCTTAACATGGCATATACATTTTTTTTTTGGCAGCTTGGCTCCTTTTGTTGTTGTTCCAGCTAAAAAGAATGCTCACTAAGACAATGACGCTGCGCTCTCACGCATACGCATTGCTTGACTTACTTTTGAATGCTGCCGCCGGCGACGTCGCTGCCACATTGCGCAACGCGCGTTTGTGGCGAAGGCGCAAATGAAACGGCCTCGGCTTTAGCTATGGATATAGCTATATCTGTTTAGTTATGCCCTGTGGCCTATGTCTGTTAGCGGGCGCTGGGCAATTTTTCTAGCTCTGGGCAGGGCGCACAAATGTAGGCAATGCTCTTTTTCAGGTCGGTATTTAATGGGTATTTAATGCAATTTTGCATTTCTTTTTCAGCTGCTTTGTGGCTAGCCTCAAAATAAGATATGTAGTTGTTGTATGTGAGCTAAAGCTCAAATTGCAATGTTTATATAAGCATATTGATTACACAATCTATACATACATATGCACTAAATTTTCACTTTATGCAAAACGCAAGCTGCCAAAAATACCGGATATCTGTGAATTTTAGGAACTATTTTTATTTTTAGCTGTGCACAGGATTATATAGGTATTTTAGGCGTTGTCTGCCGTGAAGCTCAGCTCTAAAATCTTGTCCAGCATTTTTGTCTTTATTTAATTATTTATTTTTATATAATGTTTGTTTTCACGTATATTTTTTCAGTCTAATTATTAGTTGTTATTTGCTTTATTTTAATTTTAGCTATGCTATTTTTGTCTTTCTTTTTTTTCGTTTATCAGAATTTGTTTTGTTTGTTTATCAGAATTTTATTTTTCTTATAATAACCAGCAGCAAAAAAAAAAATCGAATTTTGGTATGTATATAAGTTTTACAAGGATATCTTATTTTTTTTTTTTGCTGCTGGTGCTGTCACAATGTCCTCGTCGCGTCGCCTTTGGCGTCGCTCTTGCCGACGCTGTTCATATAATCACTGCTAGAATTGTCTTTTATCTGTTGGTTTTAAGCTTTTTTATTTTTATGTTTTGTATTGAAAACTCTGCTAATAATTATGTTAATTTTATTTATGTTATTGAGGTCGTGGAAGTTAACAATATTTTTTTTTTTTTGGCACTTTGCATCATCACCTCGAGGATTTTTTTTTTTTTGCTTTTTTATGTAACCAACGTTTTGTGCAAATACATGAAAATTTGTTGTATTTTCCGCAGCGGCGCACCAACAACAACACACATACAGATGGATTTTCTTGAATGCTGCTTTTCAGCTTCCTCTTCTCCTCTACGCAGACATGCACATAATAACTGTCTATATATGTTTTTATATATATAAGTATATATATATATATGTTTATATCTATGTGCCGTTATAATCCGCCAGCGAGTGCGAGTAGCAACCGTCCACAGTTAAAACGCCAATGATAGTGCCAGTTCAGCGTAGAGCTCGCTAGCGCCGCAGCTGCTGCAACTGTGAGCGAAACGCTCGGCTTTAGTTCGGCTGCGCTCGGCTTTTCGTCGTGCGCAGTCCAAAGCGAATCTGTCTTTGGTTGAGCAGAGGGTGGCGGCAAGCAAGCGATTGCGTATGGAAAGGCACAGTCAGAGCTTTTTTGCCGCCTCGCAGCTTTGTACTCAGCTGGGTGCCGTCGATGTCTTTGCGTTGTCGTCGCCGTCACTGGAACGTCAGATTGCTTTGCTGGACGTTCGGCTTGTGGGTGGCGCCATTGTGGGCGGCACTTAGCCGGTGGTGCGCTGGAGAGCAACAAACAGTTGGGCTGCAAGCTTTCAAGGTTTCAGGCGTGCCCGCTGCTGCGGCTGCTTTTGCTTCTGCTGCGATTTGCAATCTCATTCAGTGGCTCTCGAACCACGTCCGTGAGCTGCATATCAAGCAGTTGCTACTAGCTTTCCGCTTGCGCTGTGCTTCTCCAACTGTAGGCCTCGCTGCCGCTGTGCTTTTACAGTCATGAGTTCTTATCTAGAACTGTTTCTTTGATTTGAAATACGCAGAATAGCTCAGGATAAATCATAAGTATTTCGTATAACATATGAAAGCTCCATAATCAATAATCAAATTTTGAATATATGTACATATGTGTATATTTGTCTACTATATTTAAGAGAGCATGTTCTATTACTTAGTATGTATTAAGAGGCAGCATTAGTTAATGATTATTAAAACGAAACTGGGAAAATGATTCATTGTATGTTTAAGTACATACATCACGACACTTTCAAAAGGTCTTACTAATAAATAAATATACTAATAAAAAATAATAATGAGTATATGCTATTTAGGAGTAGCATAGTATCAATATGTTAAAAGGCAAATATCGATATGTAAAAGACATGCATTCCACTATAATTATTGTTTCCTTTTGTATTCCATTTCTTTTGTTTAAGCTTTTAAAAAAGCTCCTAAGCGCGTTCATTTCTAGACCTAGAAGCTAGCGGCTTGCTCAGCTCCCGCTTGCAGCCCAGTTAGCATAGATTTCAAATCGCTGCACATAGACCCCCAAGCTGTGGGAAAGGCTGCCGTTGGGCTTCCAAGGCGAATACAGCGACAGCTACTTCCAGTCAATTTGCCGCAAGCATGCGCTGTAAAAGCGCCAGAGAGTAGGCAACAGAGTGCGAGAGCGTGAGAAACAAACAAAATTCCCGCAAAGTTTAGTAATATAATATTTATTGATTACTTGCTGCCAGAGTTTTCCACCAAAGAGTTTTCCTCTCAACTTGCTAAAACAGAAGCCGGACTATTGGCAAATTACATAAACTGATAGAAAAAAAATTAAGACCCTTCTTCTCACTCCAACCATCGTCACACATCCATCTTTGTCGCACGCCCAGGCCGTGCAGAGTTTATTTCTAATGCAGCATTGGGGGGAGGGCTTGGGTGTTTTTGGCCTGTGATTATTATACGTATATTGTTTCACTCACATCCAATTACGTCATATCTCAGCTGTTCTGAATACGCGACGCTTGTTACACAACCAAATGCAGCTCTTCAGCTCTCTGGCACATCCGCCCCCAAATCTCACACACCTCCACTTGGCCACTGTTATCCCGGGCCTTTAGTTATTTTGGGTTTTTAATGCTTACCTGTTTGTATGGCTGACATTTAAGCTCTTGCTTACCGTTAGTTTTTGTGTGCGTGTATTGCGGTTTATTCTGCTCTTGCTTAAGCTCCAGCTAACTGTTAGTTTTGTGTTTATTGCGGTTTATTTCGTTCTTGCGGTATCCTATAACAATCTCCATCCTCCCCTGCCACACACACACACACCCATATATTTTGTCATTACTTGGCTTTTATTTATATACGCAGCATTCGCTTTAAGTATTTGAGTATTCTTTTCTTTTTGTCCTTGCGAATAACGGTTATTGCGAAGCTCCTGGGTGGTAGAAGCTTCAATTTCTTCCTGACAAGTTCTTATCTTTAAGGTATAGTTACGATATAGTACCGAAGAAAATGAAGCTCTACCTGTTTTTAATTAATTTAATTTTTAATAAGAGATAAATATAAAAATATATTAGATATAGAACCCGTTGTGAATATAAAAAGAAATTATTAATATATTTTTATATATATAGATACATCAATGAATATATAAATGTATACTGATAATTTTACCCAATTAGTTATTAAACACATAAAGAAATTATCGGATATTATTACTTCCAACAGTTCATTATTTTATCAGGCCATAATCAATGGAAACCATTTATATGGCTATATATTCTATATCTGAATTATCTGTATGTGTATGCGAAATGTCTTATCAATCTCATTAATTTAATAGATTTAACCAAGTACGCATATATTAAATGATTGATTCCATTACCACTATATATATATATACATATTTCTGATCGGAATTCTATTCGTTAGTTCTGCTAAAATTTTTGTCAATTTAGCTCGCTTGCTTGCATTTAAATTGTTTTATGATAAAAAACATACAATATTTTTTGGGGTGTCATTTAAGCCTAGGCTTGTTCTTGTCACGCCCCAATCAACATAAAGCAACATCTATTAATAAAAAATGTTGCAAACACGTACTTTGCGAAACTCTGCAAAAGATGCTGCATAAATTTAGAAGGAGCTGACAACAGGATGTACGCGCACACAAACACACACACACGCCCACGCCCACAACAATAGAAAATGGCGGACACATGCCCTAACGGCTAATGCAATTACATGATGTTACAGAGTAGAGAAGGGAGCGAGACTAAGAGAGAGAGAGAGAGAGACTAAGAGAGAGAGAGAGAGAGAGGGAAAGGCAAACAAAATGTTTAAAGTCTAAAACACACACACACACAAAAATATTACGTATACGGCGTATTGTCGCCTTGGCCTTTATATGTTCAGTTAATGCGAAATGCTTGCAAAAGTTTTGGAAATATTAGAAAAATGCATTGAAAATTTATAAATGATGAGCAGCATAAAGCAATAATAGAGCATTTAACGCCCACCGACAAGCTTTCAGTATTTTGACCCACATTGGCTGTCAAAACTTTTCACTCGAAAAGTTGACAACGCAAGAACCAGAGTTTGTCGCTGCGATTGCTTGCGGGGATTGCTGATGCGGCTGCATATTTTTAGTTGGATACCAATTGCAATTGCACAGTCGTTAAGAGCGGCTGTGGGTAGCAGGGTGCTGTGTGTGTTGGCTGGGGTTGGCATTAAGCCATTGCTATTGTATTCACCGAGTGGAAATTCTGCGGAAATGTTGGTTAGACTTCAATGACTGCTTGTAAGCGCTACGTGTTGCCAACGTCTATTTAAATACTGAACACAGTTACATTTATGTAAATTTGTGTTGGTATTATAATCAACCTAGTAGGTCGAAGCCAATAAAGGTGGTTTTAAGATATGAAATTCAAAAGAAATCACAATAAGGTTTACAATTTTTATTCTAAAAAAACTGTTTTGATTAATTAACGATCTACGTTCAGTCCAAACCTTAAATACTAGCAAATACCAGAATTTTGAAAATCCACCCTCGTGTGTGGAAAACTAGTGAAAGTCGGTCATATGAGAGATCTTTTACTTTCGTTCCGATTGGCTTCAAATTAATTTTCATAGAACTTTACAAATGTTCATTATATTGAAAATTCCACCTGCATGTGTGGAAAATTAGTGAAAATCGTTCGAATGACAGTTTTTTGCTTTTGATCCGATTTTCCTCAAAGTTCAAAGATTGTCCCAAATATTGAAATTTAGTGGATATCAGTCAATTGTTAGTTTTTCGCTTCAATACAAATCCATTCTACTTCTAATTAGGAGACGGGACTTCAAAGTTGTTTGAAAAATCAACATTTGGGCGATCGATTTAAACTTATTTTTAAAACAACAATAAGAAGTTATTGCATACTTATTCTCGGTCTATGGAAACTCGATTGTAATCCCAAGTAATCCGATTTATAATACACGTATTTACACACATTAACATATTTATTGAGTTTTAATGAAGACTCGTATACAAAATAATCGTATTCCTAGGCCTATTGAGAATTATGTAGTATCTATAAAAAATGCAGTAAGTCTTTTCTTTCCCACTAACCGAACATTGAATTGTGTTAAATTTTAGTTAACTCAGTACTCAATGGTGACACACTTGGTCTTCAGATACTCGTTGAGCGCCTCCTGGCCCAAATCCTTGCCAAAGCCGCTCTGCTTGAAGCCACCAAATGGAGCAGCCACATCCGTTTTGTTGTACACATTGACAAAGACGGTGCCCGCCTCGATGCGATCGGCAAAGCTCAAGGCCTTGCTAATATCCTTGGTGAAGACACCGCTGGCCAGTCCGTACTCGGTGCGATTGGCACGCTCCATGACCGAGTCCACATCGCTGCCGTTGAACTTGGATATGATCATAATCGGACCGAATGACTCCTCCTGTGCTATGAACATGTCATCCTCGACATTGGTGAACACGGTGGGCGTAAAGAAATAACCCTTCAGATTGGGCACGCGACAGCCGCCGTACACAAGTGTTGCGCCCTCTGCCACGCCCCGTTCGCAATACTCCAAAAGCTTATCGAAGTGCGCCTTATGATTCTGTGGACCGTGCGCCGTGGACCGATTGAGTGGATCGCCAATGGTCATCGAGCGCAGATCCTTGAGCACGCGACGCACAAACTCATCGTGAATGCGATCCTCCACAAAGAGACGTCCGGCGGCTATGCAATTTTCACCCTTATTAAAGAAGACCGAGGACATGCCCTGCAAGAAAGAAACAGGAAATTAAAACCAGAAAGAAAGAACTTGTTGAGATGGAAATCGAACCGGTTCGGGCTACGAACTGCAATTAATTTTTTTTTATCATGAATCGTAACTTAATTCAAACTAGTTGCCCAACAAATAACTCAACCGAAGCCCAAACTG